AGATTTTAGAAAGCCTCTATATATCTATGAAGGTCATCAGAGAACTTGCCTGGGTATCCCATTATTTGTCTAAGGTCCTGCAATGAGAAGGGAACTTGAAACCTAGTAGCACCATGTCCATTCGGCATTTCCTGCAAAGGCAACAGTGAAGTTGGCGGCTTTTTGGGTAGCACAGCTGGAGGGGCTGATGATATGGCTATTGGGGGGCCCCGATAAGGGAGGCAGTTAGGGCACTGAGAAGTTGCATTAGAGGGTTCCTCAAGGGTTTGCCTCTCTGACTTTGGGGAATTATATTCTGTAGGCTTGCCTGATATGGCTGCTAAGAGGGAAGGGTTAATTTTACAACACTTACAAAGATGTGGGTTGTCTCACAGGGCAAAATAAGATATAGTTGTTGGATAGTATTGAAATTAATGCTTCCCTGAGGAGGCCAGACCTCCTGTGTGTAAGATGGGCATGCCCTTGTGCAACAGAATATAAGTTGTTTTTTCTTCAGTTTCACAATCAAAGGAGTTCCAGTGTTTCAGCATGCACTTGAGGAGAGTGCAGATTGCAGATGGTTTGTTATTGGGGGAACTCACCCCCAGTATTTCAATGTAGGTTCTTTCTATTTTCCATAAGCGTTGGCCAGCTGAGAAATAAAGAGAAAGAGTACAAAGAGAGAAATTTTAACTGGGCCTCTGGGGGTGACATCATATGTCAGTAGGACAGTGATGCCCACCTGAGCTGCAAAACCAGCAGGTTTTTATTAAGGACTTCAAAAGGGGAGGGGGTGTACGAACAGGGAGTAGGTCACAAAGATCACATGCTTCAAAGGGCAAAAAGGAGAACAAAGATCACATACTTCTGAGGCCAATAAAGATCACAAGGCAAAGGGCAAAGCAAAGATCACGAGGCAAAGGGCAAAATCAAAAACTCCTGATAAGGGTCTATGTTCAGCTGTGCACGTATTGTCTTGATAAACATCTTAAACAACAGAAAATAGGGTTTGACAGCAGAGAACCGGTCTGACCTCAAATTTACCAGGGCGGAGTTTTTCCCTACCCTAATAAGCCTGAAGGTACTGCAGGAGACCAGGGCATATTTCAGTCCTTATCTCAACCGCATAAGACAGACACTCCCAGAGTGGCCGTTTATAGACCTCCTGCAGGAATGTATTCCTTCCCCAGAGTATTCATTATTAATATTCCTTGCTGGGAAAAGAATTTAGTGATATCTTCCCTACTTGCATGTCGATTTATAGGCTCTCCGCAAGAAGAAAAATATGGCTCTATTCTGCCTGACCCCGCAGGCAGTCAGACCTTATGGTTGTCTTCCCTTGTTCCCTAAAATCACTGTTATTCTGTTCTTTTTCAAGGTGCACTGATTTCATATTGTTCAAACACACATGTTTTACAATCAATTTGTACAGTTAATGCAATCATCACAGTGGTCCTGAGGTGACGTACATCCTCAGCTTACGAAGATAATAGGATTGAGATTAAAATAAAGACAGGCGTAAGAAATTATGAAAGTATCATTAGGGAAGTGATAAATGCCCATGAAATCTTCACAATTTATGTTCTTCTGCCACAGCTCCAGCCAGTCCCTCCGTTTGGGGTCCCTGACTTCCCACAACAGTTTGTTACCCATCTAGAAAGAGAAGGTATATAAGGCATCCCTCACTCCCTTTCCTGCTTTTGGTATGATCAAGGGTGGAGGGAAAGGGAGGCATGGGAATCCCCCTTCTCCTCCTTCCTCCGCATCCTCTGGGTCCTGGCTATTATCATAGATGCTACCCATGAATGGAAGCATGACCTTCACCCATGCATCCAGAGGAGCTGGTCAGCAGAACTATTCACGCTCACCTGCACAAAGCCCTAGCTGTCCACCCTGTTGGTTTCCTAGACCAACTCAGCCCAAAAGGCTCCCAAGGTACCCCAGAGTCTCTGTAATGGAGAATGTGTCCTAATACTACCTCTGGCTTTCCTTGCTATGGCCCCAGAGAAACATCAGAATTCCAGAGAATGGGATAGATTGACTTCCAAACATAAAATCCCTTTTTGTTTGAATCCCATCCCAGTGTTGTTGGATGCAGAACAGATGCCTCAAAATAACGTAAGGATTGAAGGGCTGTCCTTCCTTTGAGGGGACAGTATTGAGGCTAATTCTGTCTTGCCAGAATGGCTTCCTCCTGGGTGCTGGAAGTGTAGTTTTCCTGTCTACAAATAGGGCATGGGGCCTGATCACTGAAAATGGGACACAAGAGGGAAAATAATTGAGGAACTATAAGTTTTGGACAAAGAGTTAACAAGGCTCCCCACAAATAAAAATCACATTCCACTATGTGGCACTGTAGGATTAGAAATGCTTGGGAAAAACTGACTCCAAATTATTTCAGACAATAGTTACAAAGAGAGGTTTGGGGTTTGACAGGCTGTCCCCACAGTATGCCTCCCAGCAGAAGAAAATTAACTTGTTTTATGGAAAGGCGGTCTAGTACTCCTGGACAGTGCTGGCTTCTCACATGGGTAAAGAAACAGCCTAATAAAGTGGGGGATAGTTTCTTGGGGAGAAATAACCCCCTTCCAACTGAGTGCTATCACTGGGAGATAAATAGGTGTTCAGATCCAGGTCTTGGAATACCCCTATTTCAAGGAAACCACAGAGACAATTCATTAAATTACAGTACTAATTACTAAGGCACCAACTGACTCTATCCAGCAAGATTATATTCTTAGACTGTAAAAACACCCGCAACATTGAATACAAAGAAGGGACAGGATGGCTGGGCATGGTGGCTCACATCTGTAATCCTAGCACTTTGGGAGGCTGAGGTGGGTGAATCACCTGAGGTCAGGAGTTCTAGACCAGCCTGGCCAACATGGCGAAACCCTGTCTCTACTAAAAATACAAAAATCGACCAGGCATGGTGGCTCACGCCTATAATCCCAGCACTTTAGGGGGCCGAGGTGGGCTGATCACCTGAGGTTGGGAGTTCGAGATCAGTCTGACCAACTTGGAGAAACCCTGTCTATACTAAAAATACAAAATTAGCCAGGCATGGTGGCGCATGCCTGAAATCCCAGCTACTCCGGAGGCTGAGGCAGGAGAATCACTTGAACCCAGGAAGTGGAGGTTGTGGTGAGCTGAGATTATGCCACTGCACTCTGGCCTGGGCAACAAGAGCAAAACTCTGTGTCAAAAAAAAAAAAAAAAAAAAAAATTAGCTGGGCATGGTGGTGCATACCTGTAATCCCAGATACTCAGGAGGCTGAGGCAGGAGAATTGCTTGAACCTAGGGGGTGGAGGTTGCAGTGAGCCGAAATTGTGCCACTTCACTCCAGCCTGGGTGAAAGAGTGAAACTCCGTCTCAAAACAAAAAGAAAAACAAAGAAGGGATAGGAGACATGATAGCCATGAAAAGAAAGGAGGAAAATAATGCAATAGAAAAAGACTGGAAGACCTTGTGCTGATGCCCTGACAGGCTGTCAGGGACCAGAGTTAGGTCAAGGACCTTCAGGTAACACCGATGTGTAGCCTCAGCCAGGAACCTTCAGTTGCTCTAGGACCTCCTTCCAATTCCACATGATGGCTAGGCCCTCTGTGAAAGGAAACTGAATTGGAACAGAGCCAAAATTCCCAACACCCAAGGGCAAATGGGGATTGCCAAAGTCCTCTCCAGCAAGCCTGTCTGCTGAGTCTTAAGGCTGGCAGCCATGCTAACTGTTTTAAAATGGCTGACAGGAGGCCAGTGTTTTGTTTGCTTTTGGGAGACAAAACTGAGGACAAGAAGCCTTGGAAAGTAAAGAGTTAAAGGTCCATTCCTATTCATCCTTCTGATTAATCCCTATATTCTCAGCCAATGCTCCAGAATATGTTGTAGTCTTGCCAATGCACCAAGATGTAGCAGTCTCTTGTTGTCTGAGATAGTACTTGGAGTTATTTGTCTCATGTTCAAGAACATAAAGGTGTATGGTAACAAGGGTGAGGTTGGAGCAAAAGTTTAATAAGTTGAAGAAGAAAGCTCTCTGCAGTGGAGAAGGGGGCTCGAATGTGTTGCCCACTATGAGGCTGGTGTCTGGGGTTTTTACAGACTAGGAAGGGGAAGGAATATGCTTAGTCTGTTGACTGTCTTACAGAAAGCACGATTTAGCTTAGCCCAGGACCAGTCAGGAGCTGAAGTGAAGATTTATAAGAGCTACTCAGCTTGGCCCAGGACCTTTCAGTAGCTAAAGTGAAAGCTTGGCCTGGGACCTTCGCCTGGGGCCAATCAGGACCTGAAGAGATGATTCATAGAGGTCAGGCTCACAGTCCAAAATTGAAAGGAAAGTGCCCATCAGAACCCACCAGAGCCCACTGTGTTCGTGCCCACAAAAGGAGAAACATTCTCCTGGGAGCCCACTGATTATACAAAGGGAAAAGGCATTTCTATGTCTGGCCTTGTTCCCTTATCTGAGTGAGAGGTTTGTGCAAGTTTTTATAAGTGGGCTGGAGGTTCTCCTATCTGTGCAGTTGTGGGCATGTATCCAGATACAACCCCCTGTGCTAGTTCCCTTATTGGTGCCTGCAGTTGGATTTTTTTTTTTTCCAGACTGCTTTTTATGTTATGTGAAGATGAGGCATTTAACCCATGGGTTGGGGGCTCTCAGGGGACCCCTCCCTTGCTGTCTACCTGAAGCAAGCTAGCCTTTCAGTGGTGGGTACTAACAATAAACATACTTACGACTGAACTCTAATTCTCCTGTGGTTCTCTCACAGAGATCTTTAGCCAGAAAAACTACAGCAGAGGCGTACAAAGGCTGTACCCTGAAAAACAGGCTTTATTTTTTAAAACACCTCCCTTGAAGGAAAAGCAGCCATAGTCACAGAGACTGGCAGTAACAGGAAGCAACATTTCCCTACCCTGGTCAGACAAGCTTGGGCAAAAGCCAAGTCCTTCTGCTCCCTGAGGGGATCTTGCTCAAGAATGTCCTCATCATACTGCAACAGCAGCTTGTAGGTGTCCTTGCTGGCCCAACCCCAACTTCCCCACTTGTTGCAAGCTCTATGATTGTTTCAGCTTTTTCCAGCAGCTTTGATGCTCTCTCCTTGTAGCACACATGAAAAACATTGTTTCTGCGTCCCTGCAACACCTGATCTTCCCGTTCCACCACATGCACTACCCCAGCCAAATCCTATTCAATATTATGGAGCAAGTCAAGGAAAAAGTTGTTGGGAAAATGGTATGAGAAGTAAGTCTGTCAAGTCAGCTCTACGCAGAGTCTGCAGTGTAACTGCCTTAATTGAGATGACAAGATAATCAGCTACTTCATATTGAGAAAGGAAGTCTAAAGAGCAAGTGTGGCTTCTGTAACGCTCGTGAGAGACTATGTCTGGATGAGGAACAAGCAGTGTTTTCTGAAATAAACATGAGTCTTAGCCCCACACATGACAGATGAGCTAAGAACCAGTACAAGAAAGTGAACCAGGCTGGGTGCAGTGGCTCACGCCTGTAATCCCAGCACTTTGGGAGGCCGAGGGGGACAGATTATCTGAGGTCAGTAGTTTGAGAACAGCCTGGCCAACATGGTGAAATCCCATCCCTACTAAAGAAATACAAAAATAAGCCGGGCGCGGTGGCTCACGCCTGTAATCCCAGCACTTTGGGAGGCCGAGGCGGGCGGATCACAAGGTCAGGAGATCGAGACCACGGTGAAACCCCGTCTCTATTAAAAACACAAAAAATTAGCCGGGCGCGGTGGCGGGCGCCTGTAGTCCCAGCTACTCAGGAGGCTGAGGCAGGCGAATTGCGTGAACCCGGGAGGCAGAGCTTGCAGTGAGCCGAGATTGCGCCATTGCACTCCAGCCTGGGGCACAGAGCGAGACTCTGTCTCAAAAAAAAAAAAAAAAAAAAAAAAAAAGAAATACAAAAATAAATCCTAGCGCGTGGTGGTGCTCGCCTGTAATCCCAGCTACCCGGGAGGCTGAGGCAGGAGAATCTGTAAATAAATCTAGCGTGGTGGTGCTCGCCTGTAATCCCAGCTACCCAGGAGGCTGAGGCAGGAGAATCTATTGAAGCTAGGAGGTGGAGGTTGCAGAGAGCCAAGACTGTGCCATTGCACTCCAGCCTGAGCAACGAGAGTGAAACTCCGTCTCAAAACAAAACAAAACAAAACAAAACTTAACTGGATGTGGTGGTGGGCTCCTGTAATCCCAGCTACTCGTGAGGCTGAGGCGGGAGAATTTCTTGAGTCTGGGAGACGGAGGTTGCAGTGAGCCGAGATCGTGCCATTACACTCCAGGCTGGGTGACAGAGCGAGACTCCGTCTCAAAAAAAAAAAAGAGAGAAAAAAGAAAGAAAGGAAGAAAGAAAGGAAGGAGGGAGGGAGGGAGGGAGGGAAGGAAGGAAGGAGGAAAGGAAGAAAGAAAGAAAACGAAGCTAATACAAATCTAACAACGGATGAGAATCAAATTAAAAATTTTTGAGGCCAGGCACGGTGGCTCAAGCCTGTAATCCCTGCATTTTGGGAGGCCGAGATGGGCAGATCATGAGGTCACGAGATCGAGACCATCCTGGCTAACATGGTGAAACCCCGTCTCTACTAATAAAATACAAAAAAACTAGCCGGGTGAGGTGGTGGGCACCTGTAGTCCCAGCTACTCGGGAGGCTGAGGCAGGAGAATGGCGTAAACCCAGGAGGTGGAACTTGCAGTGAGCCGAGATCCGGTCACTGTACTCCAGCGTGGGTGACAGAGCAAGACTCTGTCTCAAAAAAGAAAAAAAAAATTTTTTTTAGTAGGCTGGGCGCTGTGGCTCACGCCTGTAATCCCAGCACTTTGGGAGGCCGAGATGGTCGGATCACCTGACGTCAGGAGATTGAGACCAGCCTGGCCAACATGATGAAACCCCGTCTCTACTAAAACTAGGAAAAAAATTTAGCTGGGCATGGTGGCACGTGCCTGTAATCCCAGCTACTCAGGAGACTGAGGCAGGAGAATCGCTTGAACCTTGGAGGTGGAGGTTGCATTAAGGTGAGATCATGACAAAACTGCACTCTAGCCTGGGCAACAAGAGCAAAAACTCCATCTCAAAAAAAAAATTCTGAGTATCTGTTCTCCACAAAGATAACACATTAAACGTGTTTTGGGGGTGGGGGGTTTCAGAAGAGATCCAGAAGCTGGTTTATAAGCTATCCACTCTGCACACTGTCCTCTAGACAATGAGGTTAAGTGAGACTGGTCCTTCAGTATAGGCTTGCCTAACTCACCTGGTGGAGTTCTGCTGGTTTCCACTTCTGGAGCAGTCTCAGATGAGGCAAAAGTAGAAGGAGGCTTCTCAGCTGAGTCTCCAACTGCTTCATCCATCGTTTCATCCTCTTTCTGCAGGCTTTCCATTCCTTCTGCTTCTTCTTCCTCCTCTTCTGGCTCAGAGTTCTCCTCCTGAGAATTCTATTCTTCAGACTCACCCTGCTGACTCATGTGCCTTTCAGATGCCAGCCAAGTCAGTTTCTCCATTGTTTCCTGTAAAACCCTCCAAAGAGTACTTATAATGGCTCTTAGTGGCTCATGAATTGCAGAACAGCACAAAGCTGTATCAGGGTAATCTGAAGTTAAACAATGGGGAGCCCACCACAGCTGTCAGAGGGGAATTCCCTGAGTTATGAAATCCCAGCAATGGGCCAGGTACAGTGGCTCATGCCTGTAATCCCGACACTTTGAGAGGCCAAGGTGGGAGGATCACATGAGGCCAGGAGTTCAAGATCAGCCTCGCCAACACAATGAAACTCCATCTCTACTAAAAATACAAAAATTAGTCAGGTACGGTGGCACATGCCTGTAATCCCAGCTACTTGGGAGGCTGAGGCACGAGAATTGCTTGAACCCGGGAGGCGGAGGTTGCAGTGAGCTGAAATTGTGCCACTGCACTCCAATCTGGGAGACAGAGTGAGACTCCGTCTCAAAAAAAAAAAAAAAAAAGAAAGAAAAAAAGCACACAAAATAAGCCAAAAAAAAGAAATCCCAGTGATAGCTGACATTCGGCCTGACAGTAGGAAACGGGAAGAAGTTCCCTTTTACAAACTTCTGTAACCTGAAGATAGTTTTCAGGCTAGAGTGCAATGGTGTAATCTCGGCTCACCGCAACCTCTCCCTCCCCGGTTCAAGCGATTCTCCTGCCTTGGCCTCCTGAGTAACTGGGATTACAGGCATGCGCCACCATGCCCAGCTAATTTTGTGAACCTGAGGTTCCTTCATCAGGGTGCTCTTGAGGTCAGAGAACAGTGCTCAAGAGCAAGGGCCTTATCTTCAGGGGTAGATGTATTTTTAGTAGAGACAGGGTTTCTCCATGTTGGTCAGGCTGGTTTTGAACTCCCAACTTCAAATGATCCGCCCGCCTTGACCTCCCAAAGTGCTGGAATTTATAGGTGTGAGCCACCATGCCCGGCTATTTACTAGTTGTTTTCGTTTTTTGTTTTTTGTTTTTTTTTTGAGACAGAGCCTTGCTCTGTTGTCCAGGCTGGAGCAAGGCTCTGTTGTCCAGGCTGGAGCACAATGACGTGATCTCGGCTCACTGCAACCTCCGTCTCCTGGGCTCAAGCGATTCTCCTGCCTCTGCATCTGGAGCAGCAGGGATTACAGGCACCCGCCACCATGCCTGGCTAATTTTTGTATTTTTAGTATAGATGGGGTTTCACCACATTGGCCAGACCAGTCTGAAACTCTAGGCCTTGTGTTCTGCCCACCTTGGCCTCCCAAAGTGCTGGGACTACAGGCGTGAACCACCAAGCTCAGCCTATTACTATTTTTTAAGGCATTTAAAGTATGGTCAGGTGATTCAATTTAAGTGTAAATCAGTTTAATATAATCAGTAAAATTTCATCCTTTCCATCTCATTTCACCTCAACCCCACAATCATGTTCCATTATGCATTATAAATAAAATAAAAATGATTTTAGGACTATCCATAGTGTAGCAAGCAAGCAGGTGGCATATCAATAAATTAAACATATTACTGAGTCCACAAAATACTTGAGAATATTCTCCAGCTCTCATCTGGAGTTCTGGGACAGAAAGCACAGATTCCTCAGAAGCTGATGACATTTCATCTTCCTCATCTTGGGTGAGGTCATCAAAGTCCTCTTCTTCCTCTTCTTCCGGCCCGTTCTTCTCTCCTCCAGTTTCTGGCCCAATTGGAGTCTCCGTTGACTGACCATCAACACTGGGTGAGTCTTCTGGCTTCCCTGGGGGGCTACTAAGCCTCACTTCAGGATCCATCGAGGACAAAGCATTCTTTGATGATCCTTTGTTCACATCTGTCCCTGAGGTTCCTTCATCAGGGTGCTCTTGAGAAGATGAAGGGGTTTTAGCTGGCTGACTCCTCTCCTCTTCCTTCTGTAAGACTGTCTGTTTCTTTACCTCTCTGGCACTGTTCAACTCCTCGCTTGCGATGCCAGTGTCCAATTCCACAGCATGTTCCTCTTTGATGTCATCACAAATGTCACGCTCAGGGGATCCACTGATTTCCTCTCTAGCATCTTCAGGTTCCACCTTGACAACTTCCTCTAAATCCCCAGGGGAAGAGTTGTTTAGAGACTCCTGGATGCCCTGAGGCAGCGGCTCCAGAGCTTGTCTTCCCTCCTCTGTTTTCACAACAGTCCAGCGACAGGCACTGTTCTCTGACAATCCTTCTTGGCACTCTGTATCTGCTGATGGAGGCCCTGGGCTATGTTCCACTTTGGGGAAAACAGTAGCAGAGAGAGGAGATAGTTCCTGGGGCTCTAATTTGGGTTCTAGGCCCTGAAAGGCATTTTCCCCATTAGCCACAGCACAAGCAATGTCCACATTCACGTGGGCCTTATCTTCAGGGGTGGATGGTATAGGAAGATTCACAGAATTGCCAGAAACAATTAAGGGTGAGACAGAGGAGGCCACAAGGGGCTGGTTCAATTGACAGGGGAAGGAAGTAGGGTTAACCAAGAGGGTGGTAATGGGAATAGTCTGGGGACTCTGGGCCACAGCCGCATTGACAGGCTGGATCATGTTACAGCCACTGCCAAGGCTCACAATCTTCACAGTGGTAGCAGGAACAGTGAAGATAACAGATGCAGGGTGGTGGATAACAGGGGCAGGTTTCATACAGGGAGAGGCCTTGATTCCCCTTCTCTTTGAGGGTCTGCGTCTCACATATGGCTTCCGAAACTTAGAAGGGGCAAGAGAGGGCAGCATTACCTTGGGCACAGGGGCAGAAGAGAGCAAAGTCTGGGACTCAGACAGAGGGAAGCTTGTCCTGCCCTCAGGGGGCATAGCAGGCAGTGCTGCAGGAGACTCAAAACTCTCACCTCCACTGACCCCCAGTGGAGGGACACCTGGAACTGTCTGTAAAACAGTGGCTGGCTGGATCAGGTGAGGAATCCGGAGCACCATTTTGCTCGGAGGGGCTTCTGAATGAGTTGATCGGGCTGGTGTTTTCCCAGGGTTGAAGCTAGGCTGGAGAGACGGGCTGGGTTGGATAAGGAGGGGCTTCAGGACTGATGAACGCTTCTGTCTCCAAGCCTTTCTGGGGAAACGGGTGGCAACTGGCTTCAGTTTCAGGACCACACCCTTAGGCAACAGCAGTGGGTACCGAGTTTCACTCTCCGAGTTGTCTTTTTCTAGGCCTTGATCTGAGTTGATCTCAGTGGTTCCAGTCACATGTCCTACCTCTCTAGCACCATCAGCCATGTGCCGCAGTTCTTCCTGGATGGATGGCAGACTGGCCTATTGGAAACAAGAACACTCTGATCCAGCATATGTCAGAATTTGGGAAAAAGAAGCTTGGCACAGTGGCTCACGCCTGTAATCCCAGAACTTTGGGAGGCTGAAGTGGGCAGATCACTTGAGGTCAGGAGTTCAGGACGAGCCTGACCAACATGGTGAAACCCCATCTCTACTAAAAATGCAAAAATTAGCTGGGTGTGGTGGCATGTGCCTGTAATCCCAGCTACTCGGGAGGCGGAGGCAGGAGAATCACTTGAACCTGGGAGGCAGAGGTTGCGAGGACCCAAGATTGCACCATATACTGGGTGGACAGAGCAAAACTCTGTCTCAAAACAAAACAAAACAACAACAACAAATTTGGGAAAAACAATTGGGCTTTCTAGGTTTTAGGGACCTTAGACAAGCTCAAGGCATCTTTCCAAGAAGGAACTCCGCATATCAAATCTACAAAGACCACATTCCAATTATATACTTTAGAAACTATTCTCTGAATTTCCTTAGCAAATGATTATTTTACCTATTATTTTGAAAATGTTGTAGAATCACCCGGAGAAGGGCAGAAAAGTAAGGGAAGAAAGGTGAATGAGGAAGATTTCTGAAGTCCTAGTTCTACAACTAAAGCATTAGTCAATTAAGGAAGCCCTTGATATTCTCTCAGAACTTTCAATGACCTTCTGCCTCCCACAGGCTTTGAGGAAGAGGGTTGTACCTTTAACCAGAATGGGAGCTGGTGTTCTTCTCTGTCTATAGGTAGCTTCCACTGATGTGGCTGGATCTCTTCACAGCATTTTACTAAGCCTGGCAGCTGTTTGGTCTTCTTATAAAACTTAACATGATTGGGAGGCCGAGACGGGTGGATCACGAGGTCAGGAGATCGAGACCATCCTGGCTAACACGGTGAAACCCCGTCTCTACTAAAAAAATACAAAAAAAACTAGCCGGGCGAGGTGGCGGGCGCCTGTAGTCCCAGCTACTCGGGAGGCTGAGGCAGGAGAATGGTGTGGACCCGGGAGGCAGAGCTTGCAGTGAGCTGAGATCCGGCCACTGTACTGCAGCCTGGGAGACAGAGCGAGACTCTGTCTCAAAAAAAAAAAAAAAAAAAAAAAATCAAACAAAAAAAACTTAACATGAAAAAAATGTGCATGAGTTACATTCCTTCTGGAAACACTGTCATCTGTCAGGCTGATGAATGGGGTGGGTGGTGGATCGAGACACACACACACACACACACACACACAAAACCACATACACAAACATCCATGAACACTCACATATAAATAGCATATGCTGAATACTTGTACATTTCAAATTAAACTAATCTCTATTTAAAGATTTTACAATTATTCAATATTTTCTAACTGATGATCTCCATCTGGTTGCCAGGACGGGGAGAGTTTAGGTCACAGAGAGAAAAGGAAGCAGATGCTCAGAGCAATCTTATGTAAGATTTGTTCCTGCTCAACAGCTGCAAAGACAGCATCGTAATCTATACCTTGGACACATGAAAACTTCCTTTTAAGCAAATGACGGTGTGAAAGGCATTAGAAGAGAAGGGGAAAAAAAAGAGAGAGCCTGAGAAAGTTCAATTTTAAGAGTAAACAAAGGCTATGTGCGGTGGCTCACGCCTGTAATCCCAGCACTTTTGGAGGTGGGCAGATTACCTAAGGTCAGGAGTTCAAGACCAGCTTGGCCAACATGGCAAAACCCCTATCCCTACAAAAATACAAAAATTAG